TTTCTTTTAATTTTTGCCCTTTATGAGTTAATTTTGATTAGATCCCTAAATTGGTATGTTGTTTATACAACAGCCATGAACTTCTAAACTATTCAATTTAATCCTCAGACTTTAATTTTCCAGCAATTTTCTGAATAACCCCCAAACTTTGGTATTTCTTCAATTAAACTCCTGATTCTTTTAATTAATTAAGTCAAAGTTTAATTAAGTTCTCAAACTCATTAATTCCTCAATTTTTTTAATTTAATTAATTAACTTAATCCCAAACTCAATTAAATCTCAAAATTTATTAATTCTCCAATTAAACTCTTGATTTAATTAATTAAACTAGTCAAGAGTTTAATTAAATATTTAAACTTTCCAATCATGTTTTCATTAACTCAAATTTTAATTCATTCTTCATTTACTGTTTTTTTTATCAAAATGTTTTAGTAAATAAAAAAAATCAAAAATTTGGTTATGACAATGTCAATAGTTTTTCTTGATTGTTTCTGCGTACAGTGGATGCACAATTAGTGATGCCAATATGACATAATTGATGATGTGTTGTTTATTTAAAGTATTTTGTTATTGATATGTATTTTGTGATTGGTATTCTCTTTATACTGTTTTCAAAAGTATTTTCTATTTAAAATTATATTAAAATAATTTTTTTATTTTTAATATTAATATATTAAAATTATCATAAAATTTCAATTTAATTTTTTTTTAAAGTAGAATGCACTTTTAAAACATAACTAAAAGCATAAGTTAAGGCACACTTAAAATAATTATTAAACCCAAATAAAACCGAATAATGTATTACTATAATTATTTAATATATTATTGTTTTAATAGATTAAATAAAAACAATCTTCTTAGTTTTTTTGACATTGATTTATATTTTGTTTGTCATCTAAGTTTTATTTGAACCCATCAAATCAATCAATTCATATTATGTTAATTTTTATTTGGTTTGGTTGAAAACTCATGCCAGTCATGCTAAATAAAGAGCCAACTATGTTAAGAAATTTCAAAATTTACTTGTTTTTCCTAGTTAAAAAACTAACCTCAATCTAATAACTTAACTTATTAGATGAGATTTCAAGATATAATTTATATTATTTTCTAACACATCCTTTTAAATGAAAATTCTTTAGTTTGAAATTTGCACAAATTAATACTACTTTATGTTTAATTTTAATCATATAAATAAAGATAATAAAACTCGAATTCCTGACTGTTTAATTAGTAAAGCTTTAATATCATGTTAAAAAATCAATCTTAACTCAAAAGCTAAGTTATTAAATGAGATCATAAGATATAATTTATATTATTTTTTAACAAATAATTTTGCTAAAATATTCTAACCCTCTTAATGCTTTTTTCTTTTTATTTTTTTTTAAATTGTTATGATGGACTAATTTATTAATTATAACGGATCGCTATAAAATTGTTTGTAGATTGAAGGTACTTAATTATAATTTTTGTTATAAAAAAAAAAAAACGGACCACGCGTGGTGTGTGTACATATGGCGTAAGCATAATTGATGAACCTTTATTAGGGTAAATTTATGTCAAACATTGGGGCATGGATTCTTTTAAAAAAAAACAATCATTATCTTATTTTTAATCAACTAGCGAGAGAATATGACGTGCTTTGAAAAGTTAACACTAAAGAAAAAGTAATGCTTGAAAAAAAAAAAAAAAAGGAGCCTGACTCTTTCAAACAGAACAAGAGGATATCCTCCACTTGTAAATGGAATACAATTTGCTGCGGTAAATATCAGAATTCAAAACCTCATTATCAACCTCCTACCATCAGCTCTAGATAAACTTTTGATACAATGGAGTGTGTTGGTAAAAGGTAAATTTCAACATCAAGCTATCATTATTTTGGCTTAAGGAATTTTGTGGAAGGATTTGGATGGCTAGAAATCAATTGATATTCCCTGAAGAGTACGTTGCCGGGTTGGAATTCAGCTTTTGAGCTCTTCTTACGTCGTCTTACTTCATGGTTGAAGATAGCTGATAGAAATCTTATGTACAGAGGTCTGGACTTGTTCAGAGAACGGGGAGGGATCATAAATTGGAGAAATAAGTAACGATCCTTCTAAGATAATGTGTTGTCATTTTTTTCTAGCTTAATTAGACATTATGTATATATATTTTCTTTTCTTTTGCTAGTTCGCCATAAACTTGCTGGAACTAGCTATTATAATATGTTCTCTCGATGATTATATATAAAAAAAACTCAATTGATGGGGTTTATATTTTTCTTATCAACGAAAAACCAGCTGAAAGTCCCAACCATTGAATTACTCTAGATCAAAAAACACGAAGAGCAATGATAATGGAGGAGGTGGTGCATTGTTGATTCAGTAAATCTGCTGCATAAATGACATCTTATTACATCTATATATTGAATTTTTTTTTCGGGCTAGAAATTTCTTCGTACAAAGTCAGTTTTTCATTAAGCAGCACAATGTTTTTGTCTTCGGGGAAGCCATGCTTGTCCATGTATTAGCTTTCCGATCCGTTGTTGCCGCCTAGAAATAATTATATCTAGCTTAAAACTTCAATTTCTTACAGGGTGTGTATGTTGTCGGGGTGTGTGTTTGTGTGAATCACAATTGTTGTAACCATTTTTTACGGTAAACTTGTGTCATACGTTGGAGCATGGGCGGTTTCAAACGAAGAAAGAAAGACTCTACACTCGTTATGGGAACCCCACACCTTCAGCCTCACATCATCTTCCAGTTGGACGTGACATGTTCTGTAAAACTCTAAAGCAAAATTAATATTTGACACTGTATTCACCTATCCTCTCTAGCTAGATGCATCGCTGACACACAAAACATCATTAATGGATAATAATGTGGTTGATGAAAACCCACATATTATATGCACAGCCACAAATAAATCCTTTCTTCACTGCTAACATTTCAAAGCAAAATCCTTCTCACTCGTTTACAAGTCGGCATTTAAGTGTTTATTTGGTTAGGTGGTGTTTGATGTTTTTTTTTTTAAAAAAATTATTTTAGATTTTAGATTTTTAATATTAGTACATTAATTAAAATCATAAAAAAAACATCTAAAAAACATGCATATTCCTACATATTCTTATTGAATTGCCGTTAAACATATTCTGTGTTTTGAGTTACTACTTACTTGTCTGTCAATTTATCTTTTATCTTTATTTTGTGTTATGGGTTGCTACTTACTTGTTTGTCAATTTATCTTTCATGCTTATGTTAAATATATTAAGATCAATTATTATTTTGTTTGTGATAGAGTTGTTACAAAAATCATTTAATTTAATTTAATTTTTTTAAGGATCTATTTGCAATATTGTCATAAAATCACTCTCTATATTTTTTTTAACTGCTTTTCAATTCGAACTTCCAGTGAAATCTTCACCCTAGTTCAAGGAGGTATATTATAGTGTTGTAAACATTGCCATATTATTCTAAACTAATATATTAATAAAAACATTTAAAAAATCAACATCCACCAACATTATGATATAAATATCATATTGATAAAACGATAAATAAATAAAAAAAACAACAACCATCAACATATAATTTTTTGATGACTTTCTGATATTTTTCAAAGAAAACATGTAACTTACATGTGAGATTAAATGATTAAATTGGGCTGATTGTAACCAAAAAAAGTGTAATTCAAATCATTTTATAGTTGAAGGACTAAAATAAGAAAAAAAAATATCCAAGAAGGTCAATCAAAGTGGCCTAAAACTTAAGAGGTGTTTATACGGTTTAGCTCAGCTTAGCCGTATTTTGCAAAACTCACACTCCTATAAATGACCTCTTTCGAAGCATTTTAACTTTGTACCTCTAAATACCATGTCTTCAAAAACCCTTCAATGGTTAAGCCTTGTGGGTATAATATGGCTTCAGTCTGTAAATGGAACAAACAGCAACTTTCCTGCATACTCCTCCCAACTCAAACAACTCCTTTCTATGTCTCAAGTTCAGCTAAACAACCTTGCCTTTGCCTCAGATGCTGGAAAACTATTTGGCTTCTTTTCTGGAATTGCTGCTCTTTATCTTCCTCTATGGCTAGTCCTCTTGATTGGTTCAACTCTTGGTTTGGCTGGTTATGGTTTGCAATATCTCTTCATAACAAATCAAATTTCCTCTCTTTCTTATGCCCATATTTTCTTGCTCACTGTTTTGGCTGGAAATAGTATCTGTTGGATCAACACAGTTTGCTATGTTGTTACCATCCAGAACTTCCCTTCTGATCGCCAAGTTGCTGTAGGATTAACCAGTAGTTATCAAGGATTAAGTGCTAAAATCTACACAGTACTTGTTGACTCCTTCACCTTTTCTCCTGTTAAAAGAGCTAAAGCCTATCTTCTTCTTAACTCTTTATCACCTTTACTAGTGAGTGTGGTGGCTGCACCATTTGTTAGAGATGTTAATGTTGGAACTAGCACGAACATGAAGGTTGGGTTCGTAGTCATGTTTGTGATAACAATAGCCACAGGAGTCTATGCTGTTGTCAGCAGTTTGGGATCCGTGTCAAGTAGGTTACCTCCATTATGCAATGCCATTGGTATCTTAGTGTTCCTGTTAGCCCCACTTGCGATTCCAATGGCAGAGAAGATGAAAGAAAAGTTCTTGAATGGAGAGATGAAGGTGTATATAGAGGAGAATGTTGGTGATCATGTTGAGAGAATAGAGAGTGGGATAAAAGTGGAAGATGATCATACAAGGGAAGGTGAGGTGGGTGTGAAGGAGGAAATTGGGGTGATGTTGATGTTAACAAGGGTTAATTTTTGGTTGTATTTCTTTGTATATTTGTCCGGTGCAACACTCGGGCTAGTTTATCTGAATAACTTGGGACAAATAGCTGAGTCTCGTGGGTGCTCGGGGACTTCTTCTCTAGTTTCTTTGTCTTCCTCATTCGGGTTCTTTGGCCGACTCATGCCATCTCTCCTGGACTTCTTTTTGTCAAAGTAAATTCAATCTCTGTCCTTGAGTCTTTTTTATATTACTTGGTCAATTTTTGCAACTCATTAAGATCAAAAGGCATGGGATTTTTAGAAAATGCTTTCTACTATGTTTTTCAATAAACATGATTAGAGCATTCCAGGATAAAAGAGATAAATACAGAAAAAATATAAATCTAGGAGAGAAAAGATAAATATAAAAAGACAGAAATATGTTTATCTAGAATAATCTTTTTAAATAGTTTTGAAATAAATTCTTCTTTAAAAAAATAATAATAAGTGCATGGAACATATTCATTCTGTTCCAGCTATCTTCTCGTCTTCTCTAACATAAATATACTATCTTTCTATGGTGTTTTCATTCAAAAATAACGTAGAGGGCACCCGCTACCGTTGGTAGTTGTATGCTGACCATACAATTTGGGCAAAAGAAAAGCATTTTCTGCCTGTGCTTTTCCAAAATCATAAAGGGATTTTGATATTTGCATTTATGATTAACCTAAATTTTATAGATTTATTCAATGCCACATCCCTAGCTCCCTTTGGTGCATGCAAATTAACCAACAATCTCCATCTGTTGAGATAGTTGTTCAGGAAATTAAAGGCTTGATTTCAATTTCTTTTCAGAAGTAGGTACATGATATCAAGACCAGCTTGTATAGGAGTATTGATGGCCCCAATGGCAGGAGCTTTCTTCTTACTTCTCGACACAGCAAATATCTCCCTTTATATCAGCACCGCCATCATAGGTGTTTGTACTGGGGCAATCACTTCCATTTCTGTATCAACAACAACCGAGCTTTTTGGCACTAGGAATTTCAGTGTCAACCATAATGTTGTGGTTGCCAATATCCCTATAGGCTCCTTCCTTTTTGGCTACTCGGCAGCACTTCTTTATCACAGGGAAGGTAATGAAGATGGCAAATGCATGGGGATGGAATGCTATAGGAGCACTTTCATTATATGGGGATCACTTTGTCTTTTTGGCACTTTCCTAGCTTTAGTCCTCCATGCTCGCTTGAGAAAATTCCACTCGCATACATAGATTAACAAGAAAATGAAACTTACTGTAGGAATTGAGTTCATGTGGATCAAAATTATCATTGAGTACTGCAGTCATTCATGCTTCTTGTAGTGTGATTGACTTGATCCATATGAACTAAACCGTACTAAATGACAAATTCTTTTGTGAGTGGTCCAAGTTAATTGTATTGTAGAAGGAGCACTTGTACGGTTAGAATTTATCATGACTTACAAATAGAACTATATTCATGTACAATTACATACCCTTGATTCAACAAAGCAAACGGCTTGATGATTTTTGGCATTTTGATTTTTTTATCTATTCATAAATATTATTAAGATATCTGCAAGTACTTATGAGTTTCAATAACTAATTTTTCATAACTTCAAAACAAAAGATGTCTAATATTGTGATGTTTTTAAAATAGTATTTTTTTTTTTAAAGTATATATATAAAAACAAAAGTTGTATCAAAGACTTATACTTGTCTTAGCTTGAAAAGCAATACAACCTAAATCACATCTTGATGGAATGGAAAGCCATCTAAATATTTAGAAGAAAAAAAACTTCATACACTTCACCATTATACAGCAATGAACCCAGTTCGTCATCAATTGTTATTCTTCTCCATGATATATATATAGACTACGTATTTGGTGAGGAGTAACTAGATCCTCTCTCTCTCTATATATATATGTGTGTGTGTGTGTGTGTGTGTGTGAGTGAGTGTTTATGCGCGCCATTAGATAGTTAGGAGTAATTAATCCGTTGATCAGTGATATTGGAAAAAGCTCAGCTTGTGCGTAATTCTATCAATTATCTTATGAACTTGAATCTGAATCTCATATAAGAGGAAGTGTGGGCCCTATACATATCATGAAAGCCACTCAAGAAGTAGGAAAGACGTCCAGAACTACTTCAAACTTTGGTAAATAGCTAGTGATGTAGGAGCCACGATGGATTAGCTCATGCTTGGACTCATCCTATCTAGCTCCACGAACAATATAGTTAGATACATGTTTATATATATATATACACACACCCACACCCACACACACCATTATATATATACCATTACGTTATTAGATTAAAAACTCGTTTGTTTTTATATTTAAATTTTATTTTATTTTCATACCATTTTAATTTACTAATATTAAAAATAATTTTTTTAAAATAAATTATTTTAATACAATTTCAAATAAAAACATTTTTAAAAAAACTCCTTCCATACTCCAAATCACCCCAAATAAAGCATGTGAAGCTTCAATGTGTTCTCATTGCAACCACATCAATTCCCCTACCGTCCAATCTAACTAGCTGCTACGGTGCTACCTATTTTCTTTCTTCTTCATCAGTGTTATAAATGCTCTTCATACGATATTTCTGGTGAAACCGATCAAATATTGGACGTTTTAGACTGTTGAAATAGAATTAGCTAGAGGGAATTATTATTATTTTTTAAATCTCTTAAATGTATCAGTTTAACCATGCATTGTTTATTTGAAATTTAATAGAGAAAAGATCTCATTTTGGCATGCACTAGCCAGATAAAAAAAACAAGATATGACTATTGAAACCCAGAAAATAAAAAACGCAATTTGTTTCATCTGCCAAGATAAAAGATTTAAGTAGAAAATATTGTAGATATATATAGCTGCTAGAGTGGCAATACCTTTTTCATATTAGGTAGAAGTATATGTTTTTTAAATTATTCTTATTTAAAAAATTAATATTTTTAAAACTTTTTTCGATAATTTAATATTCTCATGTTAAAAATTTAAAAATTATTATGCACCATATTACCATGTAATTAACATCTTAGCAGCTACTCAAATGAACCCACTTTAAAGGAAAAATCAGACACAAGTGAGAGAAAATAGATTTAATGACTCATGAAAAGTAATAAGAATATATCTCCTAAATATCTATTTATCCTGATTGTATTTATTTATTCTATATTTTATCTGAAAATGTATGCGTATGCATGACGAACGATGACATACTAATTTCGGTGAGATAATGTTCTGACAAGATTGTACTAAAGAGTAAGGATTCTATGGGGTATGCTCATACGTACTTGTGGTTTGGGAGTAATTGGGTGTATGGAATTTACACGTCAAAAGGACAAGTGCCTGAAAATATTCAAGAGAAAGAGCGAAAAAAAACAAAATATTGAAATGAATCTAATGGCCCAATTTCAAGATTCTAATTGATTTGCTAACAGTAGCTGATGGGATTTTTGTTTTTTTTATTTTATTTTATTTTAAAATTATTTTTTAAACATAAATTTTAATTTTAATTTTTTATTTTAAATTAATATTTTTTTTATTTTTATATTATTTTGATTTGTTGATGTTAAAAATAATTTTTTAAAAATAAAAAAAATATTATTTTAATATATTTTTAATAAAAAAAGTTTGAATGGAAGGCTAATCTATAAGAACTCAATCGCTCTCTATTTTTATCAGCATACATTAGTGCAGGGACTTGATTGAGCAATATGTGAAACTTTGGGAATGCACTTGTACTCTTTTGGGAGAGCAAATTGAGAATTGCTTGATAGTTAAGAGACCAATTTGAGATTTGTCCATGAAACCGAAGGCTAATTAATTGGACTTCTTAACCATTAAATGTCAGCTCCAGAAAATCTGAAGAGCTGATTAATTCTCAGCCGTGAAAGATAGGCATTAATCATGCAGCCCCACCAGCCACCCAAGTAGGCTCCAATTAATTTTATTAAATCCTCCATGGGTCCAGCGTATAATTAAGATCTGGCTACTGCTAGCTTGAGGAATCCACAACTTTCCTGGGTTGCTGGCGACCTTGATATCATTCTATCATCACAGCCACGCAATGTCTTCTTTCTTTCAGGAGTTAATCGGTTTTACATGGTAGCTCCTGATTTTGAAACTCACAGTGTAAATATCAAGTTTGGTAACGTAAAATTCAACTGGCTTTTCATACGAGTCCCATATATTTTTGTTCAAACGAGCTGACATCTGCAAACAGGTGAATACAATTTATTTGGGTGAACAGTATGCAGGTGAATAACTATTTATATTAAAAAATTATTTTTAAAAATTTATAATTTACATAAAAAATTAATGTTTAATATTATTTAATAATATTAAATAAATTAGAAGGACATTGTTTGGTGACGTAGTATTTACAGAATTTAATTGCAAGTCTAATTATGTCCTTACCGGATATTATCCAGTTAAAAAAATTCAGTTTTTATTTTTATTTATAATTATATTTTATTTAAAAAATTAGAAGTAAATCGTTTGATAACGTAACAAAAAATTCAGTTTTTATTATTGTGTTTTTAAGAAACCATGAAAAATATAGTTGTTGTGAGATAGACTTCATACGTGATGAAATTACATATAATTTAATGAAATAATAAAAAATATTTAATATTAATATTATTTATTTTATAATGTAATAATAGTAGTTAAATTTATAATATTTAAATTAAAAATAATCAATATTAATATATATTTTTAACTATTTTATAACCTCAATTTGAAAAGTATTCTTTTAACCAAATATATTAAATTACTTTTTGTTTAACTTCAAATTCAACTATAATTTTAATTAAATATATATTTTTTTAAATTAATCTTTACTAAAAATATTTTTTATAAAATAATATTTTTCAAACTATAATTACAGCTATTGTAATACGTACGACACTCTTAAAAACAGTATATATAGTTAGGTTAGTTTTTATTTTCATAGCTAAAAACAGTATATTTGAACCGCTTTCTAGGTTTACAGATTAACCGGAACTTTTTTTTTTGTTCAACGATTTTGAAAGTGCATTCTTTATATGAACTTAATTAGTGCCTTTTTCAAAATAAATTGTCCATGCTCTAGCTATATTAGCTATATATGAAGTTTAACTCGGAAGAAATTAAATCTTTTTTTAACCATCAAGCCTATCTCTTAATAGATTATCTTTAAGTCATCTTTGACATGGTCAAATCTTATCTAGACTATTATAGTAATTTTTATACGATAATTTGAAAAAATATCTAAAACAAACTCTTAATTATAGTTTTTTTAATTAAAAAATTTTAAAAAAGTTTTAACTTTTTTTTCTTTTAGGTTTTTTTTTTTACCTGGTTCCCGAACAAGATTTATTGACTCTATTTCTTGTATTGATTAACTAAATATTTTTAAATTTATAAATAAAGTAAAACACATACTATACCATGAAAATAAACAAAGATAAACACGCCTTTCTCGTGAATATTAATAAGATGAATTTATGAAAAAAAAAATTACAACCTTGAATTCAATTCCGATATGTATTTGATATTCCTAAAGTGACTTTTTAGGGTCCCTTAATTACATGTATGTTTACAGAAATGATTACGCTATTGAAACTTGTAGCTTCGTCATTAATTTCATGATGAATCTTTATAATTTGAGCCTGTCTATTCTAGTTTATTACCTCAACATTGGCTGCTGGTGGGACTTGTATAGCAAGTCCCATTTCTATCTTGTCGCTGCATGATCCTTTGCAAATTTTGCAAGTACATATATGATTCACTTGTGCTTATCTTTTTACTTTTACTGTTTTATTTGTTTTTATATTTTAAAAATATTTTAAAAAAATTAAATTTTATTTATTTTTTTACTTAAAATTAATATTTTTTTTTATATTTTTAGATTATTTTGATAAGTTAATATTACAAATGTTTTTTTTAAATAAAAAAAAATATTATTTTGATATATTTTAGAGTAAAGAATATTTTAAAAAATAACTATAATCATATTTTTAAACAGACTCCAAATGTTAAAAAATCAATTCAACCTAATAGTTTAAATTATTAGATGAAGTTTTATAATATAATTTATATTATTCTCTGATACATCCTTTCAAGTTTTTTGAACTTGAAACTTGAAAAGATTCATTTTAACTTATGTTTAATTTTTATTAATGATAAGATTTAAATTGTATCCAAGTAACTTAAACTATTAAATAAAATTTTAAAATATAATTTATATTATAATTAAGATGCCTCTCACGCCACTACTTGACTGCAGAGACGCCTTTTGCTCTCTTGGATTGAAAC